AACAAATTATTAAATTTTGCCCCTAAGTTAGGAATTCTCAACATTAAAGCTAGTTTCAAAAATCTTTAGAAGAGATAAGTGTAGTAACATAATCTCATATTACTACTGCTTGTAAATCATAATTATTACTTATTTAAACAGATTGTTAACTTCAAGAATCTGTAACACAGGTATACAGACAGAGTTTCCTTATTCTGTCAGGTGTGGACATTAATCTCTAGGTTAGGTATCAGTCTTATTCTACCTACCTTAAATGTAAGATCTCCAACTTGCTGAGCAGTAAAATTTCCAACAGCAACGTATTCTTCACTGGTTGACTGTTTGTGAGATTCATTTTCCTCTTCCTCCTCTGCATCTTCTTCCTCCTCACCACTGTCTTCACTTTCTTCACTTTCACTTTCTTCTTCTTCAGTAGGTGCCCCAACTCTACAAAAAGTGTTTCTATGAGTAGGCCCACTTGAAATAATATACAAGAACAGACCAACTATGAGTATAACTTCTATATATACATGAATATCCCATATTTGGAGCTGGCAAATAAAAGAAATAAAGGAAAATACAATGAACAATTTCTACCATCTAACAAAGAAGGTGTGCTTGGAGAGACTGAGGTGGAAAGGGAGTTATGTATGTGAGATGGCAGAGCATCACTGGACTTGAGGCCAGGAGACTTGAATTCAAGTCTTCAATTCATCCATTCAGAAAATGCTCTTTGAGCATTATTATGAAGTACTTAGAGCATGGACTCTGCTAAATTTAAATTCTGGCTATATTCCCTCTTTGCTGGGTGACCTTAGATAGGTTTCTTTTAAGCTCTTCATTTCTCATTGGTAAAGTAGAGATAATCGGAGAACCTGCCTTCTAAGGCTGTCATGAGGATTAAGATGAATCATTACTTGCAAGGTGTTTAGAACAGTGCTTGCCCATAGCAAGCTTTCCATAAAAGTCACTTATGATGATGACGCTGATGCTGTAGGTCAAGTTCCATGTCAGAGACACACAGTAGACACAAAGGTAAACCAGACACAATTCCCCATCCTCAAGGAGCTTGCAATGAGACAATCTAGAAAATGGAGAATTATAAAATAGTGCAACAGGTACTAGAGTAGAGGTATATACAGGATACTAAGAAATCAATCACGCGAGAGGGACACCTAACCCAGGCTGCATGAATGGGAATTCGAAAATGCTTTAATTAGGTCTTGACAGACGATATGGAATTAATCAGGTAAAATGGGAGTAAAAGGAAGGGGAGGGAGAGGAGAAAGGAGGTTCAAGATTAGGAAATGTCAAATAGCTCATGAATGGTAGGGCAAGGCTTGAGGAAAATGAATGAGAATTGAGGCTGAAAAGAGGTTCGAGAATGTAGCCCAGGAGAGCCTGACCTCTAAGGTCATCCCTAAAAATGAGTAGGGGAAGGACATGATATGATTCGCACTTTAGAAAGGAGACAAAGCTACAATGTAGGGAACAGATTAAAAGAAGGGCTAAAAGGTGAGGGTGGCTGTTGAAAGTAAGAAGTGACAACAGTATGAACTAAGAAAACGGTATGGGGGTAAAGAGAAAGGAGATGATACGGAGGGTGAGGAGGAGAGAAATGCCAAAATAACATCAGCTTGCGTACGTAAGACTTAATCTTTCTGACTTGTATTCATTCATTCGTCATTCAGCACAGTTTAAATTTTGGGGGGCACCTACTGTATAGCAGACATTGGGTGCTTGGGCTATAAACAATGAACAAAACCAAGATCTTTGCCCTCCGAAAGCTTACATCAGAGAAGCTTATCTTTAAATGGGACAGCAATACTTAGACTAACGCAAATGAACATCATTAACCATAAAACTAGCCAAAATAAATTTTCTCTGGAATAAAAAGGAAAATAAGCTTAACTTTGTTTAAAATAATTGTAGGACACTCTTATACCACACTTACCTAACACATAAACGAGGATGTAACAACCATTTTTATACCACAAGAATTAAAAAATCCATAAAATGTTATATTTATTTTCAATGTGGCTCTTTCCTTCCTTAGGAGATATTTTGCACATATCTTATATGGGTCAATTATTCCAAAACTTTGCTGGAATAATGTGAACTTAATATGGTTTTTCCCCTTCATTAATGCAGTGAATTTCAATGATTGATTTTTATATGTTAAACCAACTCACATTCTGGAACAAATTCAACTTGGTCATGATGTATTATCCTTTTGAAATGCCTCTAGATTTTACTTACTAATATTTTATACTGAGTTCGTGGATTTGTTCCCCTTGTAATTTTCTTCTAGTGTTCTTGTCAGGTTTTGATATCAGTGTTATTGAAAGCTTATAAAATGATTTGTCTATTGTTGGTGTATAGGAATGTAAAGTATCCAACTTTTGTATTCTCTAGAACGATTCTGTAATATTGGCATTATTTCTTTCTTAAATGTTTACAAAAAATTCACCAGTAAAACCACCTGGGAGTTTAATCTGTGGAAAGGTTTTTAATTACAAATTCAATTTCTTTAGTAGATATTTTAGTAGAACTATTAAGATTGTCTATTCATCCTGTGTCCATTTCTGTACTTTTTTTAAAGCCTGCAGCACCCGGTATTCCCAGGCGGTCTCCCATCCAAGTACTAACCAGGCCCAACCCTGCTTACCTTCTGAGATCAGACGAGATCGGGGCATTCTTATTTTATCTAAATTTCAAACTTATTCTCATAAGTTTGTTCATAATATCTTCATAGTATCTTTTTAATTCTTATAGAATCTGTACTGACTTCTGTTTTTTCTCTCTTTTTCTCTTTTCTTGATCAATAATGCCAGCAGTTTATTCATTTGATTAATTTCGCCAAAACCAACTTTCGGCTTTGTTGATTTTGCAGACTGTATGTCGGTTTCTTGTTCACTATTTTCTGCTTTTATTTTTATTATTTCCTTCCTTCTGCTCTCCTTGGTATTGTCCTTTTTCTGGCCTCTAAAGTTGAATGCTTTACATTCCTATATACCAATAATAGACAACCAGAGCGTTTGTCTCTCTGACATGAGTGAACTCCCATTCATAACCGCTACAAAGAGAATCAAACCTAGGAATACAACTTACAATGGATGTAAGGACCTCTTCAAGGAGAACTACAAACCACTGTTCAAGGAAATAAGAGAGGACACAAACAGATGGAAAAACAATCCTGCTCATGGACGGGAAGTATCAACGTCGTAAAATGGCATACTGCCGAAAGTAATGTATAGATTCAGTGCTATCCCCATCAAGCTACCAGTAACTTTCTTCACAGAATTAGAAAAAAACTACTTTCAATTTCATATGGAACCAAAAAAGAGCCCGCATAGGCAAGACGATCCTAAGCAAAAAGGACAAAGCTGGAGGCATCACACTACCTGACTTCAAACTATACTACGAGGGTATGGTAAGCAAGACAGCACGATACTGGTACCAAAACAGACATACAGACCAATGGAACAGAACGGAGGCCTCCGAAATAGTACCACACATCTATAACCATGAGATCTTTGACAAATCTGACAAAAACAAGCAATGGAAAAAGGATTCCCTATTCAATAAACAGTGCTGGGAAAACTGGCCAGACATATACAGAAAACTGAAACTGGACAACTTCCTTACACCTTAAAAAAAAATTAACTCAAGATGGATTAAAGACTTAAATGTAAGACCTAAAACTAAATAAACCCAAGAAGAAAACCTAGGCAATACCATTCAGGACATAGGCATAGGCAAAGACTTCATGACTAAAACACCAAAAGCAATGGCAACAAAGGCCAAAAATGACAAATGGGATCTAATTAAACTAAAGAGCTTATGCACAGCAAAAGAAACTAGCATCAGAGTGAACAGACAACCTACAGAATGGGAGATAATTTTTGCAACCTATCCATATGAAAAAGAACTAATATCCAGAATCTATAAATAACTTTTAAAAATTTACAAGAAAAAAAACCAACGCCATCAAAAAATTGGCATAGGATATGGACAGACACTTCTCGAAAGAAGACATTTATGCAGACAACAAACACATGAAAAAAACTCATCATCACTGATCATTAAAGAAATGCAGGTCGGGTGCGGTGGCTCAAGCCTGTAATCCCAGCACTTTGGGAGGCCGAGGCGGGTGGATCACTAGGTCAAAAGATCGAGACCATCTTGGTCAACCTGGTGAAACCCCGTCTCTACTAAAAATACAAAAAAATTAGCTGGGCATGATGGCGTGTGCCTGTAATCCCAGCTACTCAGGAGGCTGAGGCAGGAGAATTGCCTGAACCCAGGAGGCAGAGGTTGCGGTGAACCGAGATCGCGCCATTGCACTCCAGCCTGGGTAATGAGTGAAACTCCGTCTCAAAAAAAAAAAAAAAGAAATGCAAATAAAAACCACAATGAGATACCATCTCACACCAGTTAGAATGGCGATCATTAAAAAATCAAGACAACAGATGCTGCAGAGGATGTGGAGAAACAGGAACACTTTTACACTGTTGGAGTGAGTGTAAATTAGTTCAACCATAGTGGAAGACAGTGTGGCGATTCCTCAAGGATCTAGAACCAGAAACATCATTTGACCTAGCAATCCCATTACTGAGAATATACCCAAAGGATTACAAATCATTCTACTCTAAAGACACATGTACATATATGTTTGTTGCAGCACTCTTCACAATAGCAAAGAATTGGAACCAACCCAAATGCTCATCAATGATAGAGTGGATTAAAAAAAGTTGCACATGGGGCCGGGCGGGCGGGCGGCGGCCTCTAGGCAGTAGATGGGGCTCCAGGGCTTCGACGCACCATGGGCAAAGGGTAGAGGGGCAAGTTGGCCACCGCCGCCGCCATGGGTGGTGGGATAGCCGCTCCGGGGGAGGGGCGGGCAGTCGCACGGCCGCGGCACTTTTTTAATTTTTTCGGGTGCCGCAGCGGCGACCCCTTGGCGCCAATGTCCGTGATTCTTGGAGCGAGGAGGGCCGCTGCCTAAGCTGGAAAGAGGAATGCCAGCTCCTGAGCAGGCCTCATTGGTGGAGGAGGGGCAACCAAAGACCCGCTAGGAAGCTGCCTCTACTGGCCCAGGCATGGAATCCGAGACCACAGCCACCACTATTCTAGCGTCCTTGAAGGAGCAGCTCAACTAAGAAGTCATTTCCTTGGAGATCAACAGATGTGCCAAATACTGGTATAAGCAAATCTAGAGCTTCTGACGCTGTCCATCCCAACAACTATCTTATCAGGACAGAGCCAGAACAAGGAACCCTCTATTTACCAGAACAGACATCTCTCCATGAAAGTGAGGGATCATTGGGTAACTCAAGAAGTTCAACACAAATGAATTCTTACTCGGACAGTGGATACCAGGAAGCAGGGAGTTTCCAAAACAGCCAGAATGTGAGCAAGGCAGACAACAGACAGCAGCATTCATTTATAGGATCTACTAACAACCATGTGGTGAGGAATTCAAGAGCTGAAGGACAAACACTGGTTCAGCTATATGGCAGATTGGGTCAGTCACCTCCAGGCAGACCTCCAATCCCAACGGACCAAACCCTCAGTACCAAACCACCACCAGAGTGGGGTCCCCACTGGCCCTGAAGGATGCACAGACTCGACTAGCTTCCCCATCCCAAGGCCAGGTGGGGTCATCGTCCCCCAAACGCTCAGGGATGACCGCCATACCACAGCATCTGGGACCTTTACTGCAAAGGACTGTTCATGACATGGAGCAATTTGGACAGCAGCAGTATGACATTTATGAGAGGATGGTTCCACCCAGGCCAGACAGCCTGACAGGCTTACAGAGTTCCTATGCTAGTCAGCACAGTCAGTTTGGGCAAGACCTTCGTTCCGCTGTGTCTCCCGACTTGCACATTACTCCTACATATGTGGGGAGGACCTATTACAGCCCCGTGTACCGCAGCCCAAACCACGGAACTGTGGAGCTCCAAGGATCGCAGAGGGCATTGTATCGCACAAGCTCAGTAGGTATTGGAAATCTACAAAGGACGTCCAGCCAACAAAGTACCCTTACATACCAAAGAAATAATTATGCTCTGAACACAACAGCTACCTACACGGAGCCCTACAGGCCTATACAATATCGAGTGCAAGAGTACAAGTACAACAGGCTTCAGCACACAGTGCCGGCTGATGATGGCACCACAAGATCCCCATCAATAGACAGCATTCAGAAGGACCCTAGGGAGTTTGCCTGGCGTGATCCTGAGTTGCCTGAGGTCATTCACATGCTTCAGCACCAGTTCCCATCTGTTCAGGCAAATGCAGCGGCCTACCTGCAGCACCTGTGCTTTGGCGACAACAAAGTGAAGATGGAGGTGTGTAGGTTAGGGGGAGTCAAGAAGCATCTGGTTGACCTCTTGGACTACAGATTGTTGGAAGTTCAAAAGAATGCTGTGGTGCTCTTTGAAACCTCGTTTTTGGCAAGTCTACAGATGAAAATGAAATAGCAATGAAGAATGTTGGTGGGATACCTGCCTTGTTGCAACTGTTGAGAAAATCTATTGATGCAGAAGTAAGGGAGCTTGTTACAGGAGTTCTTTGTAATTTATCCTCATGTGATGCTGTAAAAATAATCATTCGAGATGCTCTCTCAACCTTAACAAACACTGTGATCGTTCCGCATTCTGAATGGAAGAACTCTTCTTTTGATGATCATCATAAAATTAAATTTCAGATTTCACTAGTTCTGCGTAACATGACAGGTTGCCTGAGGAACCTCAGCTCTGCCGGGGAAGAAGCTCGGAAGCAAATGTGGTCCTGCGAGGGGCTGGTGGACTTGCTGTTGTACGTGATCCACACATGTGTGAACATATCCGATTACGACAGCAAGACGGTGGAGAACTGTGTGTGCACCCTGAAGAACCTGTCCTATCGACTGGAGCTGGAGGTGCCCCAGGCCCGGTTACTGGGACTGAACGAATTGGATGACTTACTGGGAAAAGAGTCTCCCAGCAAAGACTCTGAGCCAAGCTGCTGGGGGAAGAAGAAGAAAAAGAAAAAGAGGACTCCGCAAGAAGATCAATGGGATGGAGTTGGTCCTATCCCAGGACTGTCAAAGTCCCCCAAAGGGGTTGAGATGCTGTGGCACCCATCGGTGGTTAAACCATATCTGACTCTTCTAGCAGAAAGTTCCAACTCAGCCACCTTGGAAGGCTCTGCCGGATCTCTCCAGAACCTCTCTGCAGGCAACTGGAAGTTTGCAGTATACATCTGGGCAGCTGACCGAAAAGAAAAGGGGCTCCCCATCCTGTGGAACTTCTGAGAATGGACAACAATAGGGTTGTTTCTTCCGTGGCAACTGCACTGAGGAATATGGCACTAGATGTTTGCAACAAGGAGCTCATAGGCAAATACGCCATGCGAGACCTGGTCAACCAGTTTCCTGGTGGCAATGGTCCCAGTGTCTTGTCTGATGAGACCATGGCAGCCATCTGCTGTGCTCTACACGAGGTCACCAGCAAAAACATGGAGAACGCCAAAGCCCTGGCCGACTTGGGAGGCATCGAGAAGCTGGTGAACATAACCAAAGGCAGAGGCCACAGATCATCTCTGAAAGTGGTGAAGGCAGCAGCCCAGGTCTTGAATACATTATGGCAATATTGGGACCTCCGGAGCATTTATAAAAAGGATGGGTGGAATCAGAACCATTTTATTACACCTGTGTCGACATTGGAGCAAGACCGATTCAAATAACATCCTTCCTTATCTACCACCAACCAACAGATGTCACCCATCATTCAGTCAGTCGGCAGCACCTCTTCCTCACCAGCATTGTTAGGAATCAGAGAGACCCTCGCTCTGAATATGATAGGACCCAGCCACCTATGCAGTATTACAATAGCCAACGGGATGCCACACATAAAGGCCTGTACCCTGGCTCCAGCAAACCTTCACCAATTTACATCAGTTCCTATTCCTCACCAGCAAGAGAACAAAATAGACGGCTACAGCATCAACACCTGTATTATAGTCAAGATGACTCCAACAGAAAGAACTTTGATGCATACAGATTTCATTTGCAGTCTCCTCATAGCTATGAAGACCCTTATTTTGATGACCGAGTTCACTTTCCAGCTTCTGCTGATTACTCAACACAGTATGGACTGAAATCAACCGCAAATTATGTAGACTTTTATTCCACTAAACAACCTTCTTACAGAGCAGAACAGTACCCAGGGTCCCCAGACTCATAGGTGTAGCATCAAGATGCCTGACAGAGGAACTTTTTCTTTCTAACCTTGTTTGGATTTAGGTGAAGTCCATCTTGCTGATGATTTGATGATTGAAATGTGAAAGTGAAGTGGAAGGAATGAGTGAAGTGCATTTTTTTCTTTTTTGAGGAATTAGGGAAATGAGGAAACGTTTGGGAGAGGACTTTCTAAGCTCTATTTAGTTGTTAGATGTAATTACTTGTAGATTCTGTAGTCTGGTGAAGGTATGGGTGACGTGATGAGAGGTTTGAGAAATGGGTGAAATGAAATGGGGGACGTGTAGGTCAAATCCAATTAAAGATGATTTTTTTAATGTGAATAAATTATGTTCTGATAGTTTGTACAGAAAAAAAAATGGATGCCCATGTTTTATTGCTATTACTAAATGTCAAGATTGTATGCTATTATGTCTTGTAAATTTCTTTTGTTGGTGTAAATATGGAAATGCCACATTGGTTAAGTGCCATCATTTGTAATGCAGTGTGTCACTTGAAAAGAGAGTTGAAGAAACTGACAACTTCAAAAAGAAATGGGAAGCCCAAGGAACTGTGAGCAATTAAAATCAAACTGTGACGTCCTTTGTCTCCACCATGCATAGTGTACTTTGGAAGCACAACGTCCAGGCTGGTACTGCAGCGCCATGCCCATTCCTCACCTCGTTCACAGGATGCTTCACTGCCATTTTCTATGCACATGAAAGAAAAATAAATGTGGAAATTTCATCCTTGGGAAAAAAAAAAGTTGCACATGTACACCATGGAATACTATGCAGCCATTAAAAAGGATGAGTTCATGTCCTTTACAGGGACAAGGATGAAGCTGGAAACCATGATTCTCAGCAAACTAGCACAAGAACAGAAAACCAAACATCACATGTTTTCACTCATAAGTGGGAGTTGAACAATGTAAACACATAGACACAGAGAAGGGAACAACACACACAGGGGCCTATCGGGGGGGGTGGGGGGCTAGGGGAGGGATAACATTAAGAGAAATACCTAATGTAGATGACGGGTTGATGGGTGCAGCAAACCATCATGGCACATGTATACCTATGTAACAAACCTGCATATTCTGCACATATATCCCAGTATAATAATTTTTTAAAAGATGTGTATGCTTTATAAAAAAAAGTTGAATGCTTTAGTAATTGATTTCCAACTTTTTTTTCAAACTATGCATTTAAAGATATAAATTTCTGGCTAGGTGCAATGGCTCACACCTGTAATCCCAGCACTTTGGGAGGCTGAGGTGGGAGGACTGCATGAACCCTTGAATTCAACATCAGCCTGAGCAATATAGTGAGACCTCGCCTCTACAAAAATTAAAAAATTAGCCAAGCCTGGTGGCACACACTGGTAGTCTCAGCTACTTAGAGAGGTGGAGGAGGTGGAGGTTGCAGTGAGCCGAGATTGCACTGCACTCCAGCCTGGGTGACAGAGAGCCTGTCTCCAAAACAAACAAACAAAAGACAGAAATTTCCCTCTAAGCACTACGTTGGTTGTAACCCACAGTCATTTTATTATCATTCCAAATAGTTTCTAATTGCACTGTTATATTTTCTTTGACTCACAGTTTATATAGAAGTGTGTGAAAATTTGCAAACAGTAGTGATTTCTAATTATTTTTTCTGTCATTGGATTTTAATGTCATTCCAAGTCATCAAAGAACAGACATAATACTATAACTTCAAACTTTAGAAATTTGATGATAATTACTTTATGGTCCAATATGGTTCATTTTCATTAATGTCACATTAATTATGTAACCTTATGTTTCATTAATGCACTGAAAAGAGTATTATTTACATAACACATACTTTGGTGCTACTATGTTCTACACATATGCAGTCATGCACTGCACAACAATGTTCCAGTCAACAATGGCCCAAATATACAATCATGGTCCCATAAGATATAATACCATATTTTTACTGTACATTTTCAATTTTTGGATATGTTTAGGTACACAAATATTTATACCATTGTGTTACAACTGAATTGCCTACAGTATTCCGCACAGTAACGTGGTGTACAGGTTTGTAGCTTAGGAGCAACAGACTATGCTGTATAACCTAAGTCTATGGTAGCCTATACCTTCTAGGCTTGTGCAAGTACACTCTACGATGTTTGTACAATGATGAAATCACTTAATGACACATTTCTCAGAACATCTCCCTGTCATTAAGAAAGGCTTGACTATGTGTAATTAGATCAAGATGGTTAAAGACTGTGAATTATCTAGCTCTGCTTTAGTTCTGGAAACTTTTGCTTTATACATTTGAACCCATGTTATTAAATGTATACACATTTAGGGATTTTTTTTCCTGTTGAATCTAACCTTTCTTTTATCATTATGAAATGTCCTTTCTTAAACAGTAAATTACTTTTAGCTTTAAGTAGCTGATATTATTGTAACCATATCACCTTTGTTTTGGTTATAGAAGAATATCTTTGTTATAGAACATGGAATATCTTTTTCCAGTTCTTTGCTTTCAATCTCTCTATAATTGTTTACTAAAGTGTATCTTCTAAATAGTATATATTTGGGTTAAAAAAATTCAATCTGACAATCTTTCTTGTAATTGGAGTGTTACTCCATTTACATTTAATGTATCTATCCAAATGGCTGCTTTGAAACCATGTTACTATTTAGTTTCTATTTGTCTCATCTGTTTCTTATTTTTAATTTCTCCTTTATTGCCTTTTTAGGGTTAATAAAATCGCTTTTAATATTCCATTTATTGTGTTGTTTTACTAGCTACATTTCTTTGTAGTACTTTGTTAGTGATTGTTTTAGGTATTACAATATGCATTCCTAACATCATAGTCTAATATCATATTTCACCAAAGATAAAATAACTTTAAGATAAATAATTCCATTTACCTGCCAGACTCTGTGCTATGCTACGCCATGGTCACATTTTACTTCTGCGTATACTCAGTCCTTGTAATGTGCAGATTCAGTATTTGTGAATTCATCGGCTCACTAAAGTTTATTTCCAACTCCCTAATTAATAATTGCAGTGCTTTTGTGGTCATTTGTGGACATACACAAAGCAGCAAAAAATTTGAGTTGTCTGGCATACACATTCCCACTGAAGATGAATGTGGTGACACCTGCCTTTTTTCAGCTCCATATAGGAGAGTGTCCTTTTTGCCGTCTATTTAGTGCCACATTTTTTGTTTTTTTTTTTTTTTTTTTGGTGATTTTGGTGTTTAAAATGGCCCCCAAACATAGCCCTGAAGAGCCTGTGCTATTCCTAAGTACAAGAAGACTACAATCTACCTCTGGAGAAATTGTGTGTTAGATAAGACTTGTGCATGCATGAGTGATACTGCTGTTGGTGTAAAGTCAATGTTAATGAATCAATAAAATATATAAGGGGTCTTTTAACAGTAACACAAGGTTGTATGTCACTCAGTTGACAAAAACATTGTGACCAGAGGCTCACAGGAGTCTTAAATCTATATTTCCCCAGAAGCAATGGTTTAATATTTGCTAATCGAGTGTTCATGGCAATTTTATAGAATATAACTACTGCAATTAATGAGAATCAATTGGATATTATAAATCCCCAAATGTACCTTTTGCTTTATGTAATCAAGTGTCTGTTAAAGGCATGTAGAAAAGAAAAAAAGAGGCTTTTATATTTACCCACATACCCATCTTTTTCAATCCTTTTTGAAGATCCAAATTTCTATGTGGGATCTTGTCTGCTAGCCTGAAGAACTTCCTTTAACATTTCTTATACTGAGGGTCAATTGACAAATTTCCTCAGTTTTTGTTTGCCTGAAAATGTCTTTATTTCACTTTAATTTTTTATACTTTTGCTAGATACAGAATTCTGAGTTGGTTGTTTCTTCTTTCAATGTTTTCAAGATGTTACTACATTGTCTTCTGACCTGTATTTTTTCTCACAAGATGTCAACTGTAATTTTGTCATTTGTCTCGACATGTTTCCTTTTTTCCCTTGGCAACTCGTAAGATTTCCTGTATCTTTGGTTTTCAGTAGTTTGACTCTAATGTACCTGTGTGTGGGTTTCTTTACAATTCTGTTTGGGGTTCCCTGAGATTCTTGGATCAGTGGTTTGATATCTTTCTTAGTAATTTTAAAATGTTTTTAGTCACTACCTCTTTAAATATTTCTTGTGCTTCATTCTCATCCTCTTCTTCCGAGACTTCAATTACAAATCTGTTATAACTTTAACAGTGTCTCACCTCTTACATTCTGTTTTGTTCCTTGCACTTTTAAATTTTTATGTATCAATTTGAAAAAGTTTTAAAGCTGTCTTTGGGTTCATGGATCCCTTCTTCTGTTGTATCTAATCTTCGGTTAAGCCACCCTATAATTTTATTTCATATACTGTACTTTTTATTTCCAGAATTTTCAATTTGGTCTTTGTTAGTTTCTATTTCTCTGCTTAAGATTCCTCTCTATTCATCTTATCTATTTTTCCTATAACTTATTTATCTATCTTTTCCTATAAGTTGTTGTTTTATGGTTCTTATTTGCAAATTTTCACATCTCTGAGCTACTGGTTATTTAATCTCTTGATTTTATGACATTTCCCAGATTTTTGAGTCTATACATTGAGTCAGATTTTGGAAGTTCTCAGCCATTAGTTTATCAAATATTATATTTTTTAGTTATAGAATGTTTATTTGATTTCTCTAGATTTGAATTCTCTTAAAATACACTCTTTTCCCCATTTCATTCATCTTTCCTTCTATTTTCTTTAACATATTTATCATATTATTTAGAAGTCCTTGTCAGCTAACTCTGTATCTGGATCATGTCTGGGTCTGTTTTTATGACCATCTTGTCACTTATTGATCATGTATTTGTCCCTGCTTTTTTGCATTTCTAATTTTTTTAAATTACTGGTTGCTGTGATGGACACATTAGAAGACACACTTACAGACTTTGGATTATGTTATATTCCTCTCAGAAGTGTGAAGTTCTTTTAATGTTACACAGTTAAAATATCTTGTTCCTGATAAGGTCTGCTTCTAG